ATTCCCATCTTGGAACAATGCACTTCCGAGTCTTGCTCCAAAAGTTTGACTGCAAAAATTTTAAATAATTAAATTAAAGATTCGATATTTTACTAATATTTTACTAATATTTTTTAACGTTGAAAAAGAAACATTCAAAATATGTAGAAGAAAATTAATTTATTCCTTGATATAATTATAATTGAAGTCTTCATATTCAATAGTATTGACGATAATATTTTCTATATATTATATTTTATATTGTATTATATTTTATATAATAATATTGACATAGAAAAGTTATATAATAAAGCTCACGTATAAAGTTCGACGCCCGCCTTTCCTGATAATTGCAATTCCTTAACTTTGCTAAGCACAATGCACGCAGTGCGTAAAGATTCTTCATATATCTCTTTATGACTTCTATATTTTAGTGGTATATCTTGTTTTAACTGAGGATCGTCCAAAAAGTACCGTTCTGCAACATTTATACATTAGATATCGAATCTTTTATGATAAATTAGAATATTATATTCTATGTATATAAAATAATAAAAAATAAAAATATTAGAAGAATAAAATAAAACAATTACAATTTACAAATTTCACGTGACAGTAAATATGTTAACAAACGTTATCCATATATGGAAAAAAGGAGAAACATAAAATACTTAAATACTTAATGAATACTTAAAGGAGAAACATAAAATACTTAAATACTTAATGAATACTTAAAATATAAATAATTAAAAAGATATGTAAATGTTAAAAATTGAATATTTACTGCAAAATGTTCTTATTATACATAAAATATACATATTTGCAAGATAGAGTATAATGAAACACAATGAAAAAACTAACGCTAATTAACTGATAGATAATAAATTGATAAATTACACAATTAGAATTTACAATACAATAATACATTAGGATTGTAAACTATCTAAAAGTAAATTGTCTAAATGCTAATCTTTTTACAACGTGAACTTTTGTCAGACGTATCAAAAAAATCAAAGTTGACTTGTTCAAGGCGCAAACTGATAAAATTAATAAAAATGCTATCTATAATGACAAAATGACTAAGCACTGATCAATAATATTAAATCTTCGAACTTTGTTACTTTGCAACGAATATATACATGTAAAATTAAAATCGTCGCATATACCGTAAAGTCATTTCCTGCATTTAAAAATGTACTTTCTCAAGCTTAACTTTATATTATATTTACTTAAATATTATATATAATATTAAAATGTTATAACATTAAAAAATTATATATACATATAAGGATATATTCAAAAATTCATATTTTTTGTAAATAAAGTCCTACAACCTGTGTACATGAAGATTTGTTTCAATTATGATATTAATTTTTGAGGTAGATATTATACAGTAGCTCATAAAAGTATTAGAACGTTCATGGTAAAACAAATTATATAGAACATTTTGAAATTTCATCGGAATTGTTGAAACATGGCTATTATGATTATATTGATAAAATTTAAAATTTTTTAAACTTTTAAAATTTAAACTAATAGAGAGTCGTTTATTGTAAACATATGTTTAATAAAAAAATTAATATATAGCACAAGTAATTATTAAATATTCAGACTTACGTAAAGTAATTATAGACATTATAGACATTACGTAAAGTAATTATAGACATTATAGAAATATATTTGCAACGCAAAAATCATAAAATTTATGCAGCATGTAATGAATATCTTATTTATGTAGTATTACAATTTATGTAGTATTGCAATTTACGATTTAGGAATACTGTATATATTTCTTATAACGTGTAATTATAAGTTGTATATAAAAAATTTCCACAAGTTTAACCAAATACAGAAAATAAGCAAAACAAAATTATATCAAAAGGTACAAAAGTAATCGAATCATTGATAATTTATAGTGGTTGATGCAATTTTATGTAAATGTTAAATGAGGAATTACTTATTAATTTTTTATTTCTAAACCTGATTTTCAGTTTACGTAACTAATTATAGGTGATATAACATGTAGACAGATTGTAAAATTAATCAAAAATTAATATACATTTTATAATCTGAAATAACAATTTAATTACAATTTTAGTAATATATAATTATAATATATATAATTCCCTACTTTTTTGTAAATTTTAAAAATAATGAAACAATTTTCAACTTTTCCGTAAAAATATTGATTAGAAAATAATTTTTGCAATTAGTAATTTAGAATATTAATATTAATAAATGCTGTTACACGCTATGTAAGTACGATAATGCTACGTAATTATTCATTGATGAAATCGTTTTATATTATTATTGATTAAATATATATATATATATATATATATTTAAATCGATAATAATGTTAAATATCATTTATTTGATACAAAGATAGAATTTAATAGGAAGATAGGAATTAAACAATCCTCGAAAGACAAATTTTAATAATAAGTTTAAAAAATCACAAATATAATAGATATCAATTATTAAAAAAATTTTTTCTACAGGGACTATTTAGGGACTTTCTAATTGAAAATCCTGTTCTATTCTTTTTATTAATGAAACTTTATTTTTCCGCAGGAATTAACATAAAATACATATATAAAGTTAATGAAGTTATCAATAAATTAATAATATTAACAAACATTATCTTTATTAATTAATGTCAATAATTATATATATCGTGCAACAAAAAGGTAATACATTCCAATAATTTATTATTTTTACATTTAAGCATTGAAAGTACAGATATAATAGATAACATTTAAATTAAAAATACAAATATAATAGCAATCGTTTTACATCTCTAATCCAAAACAAAAGTTGATTGATTTCATTATCGACTTCATTAATAGATATTCAAAGTATTTTATGCTTTGATAATATTACAAAGTTTTTATGAAAAATGTCTTTTTAATTGTTAAAATCTATATCGTTACTTTCTATCTCGTTAACTACGAATCAATTGAATCATTTTTCGATCCACAATGAATCATGAAATTTGTAGGGAGACTAGAAAAAATACTAGAAAAAATACTAGAAAAAATACTAGAAAAAATACTAGAAAAACCAATTCTAATTCACATCTAAATAAACTGATTGTGGTTAAAATTCTGTATTGTGAATAAAATAAAACGTATATAAAAACTTCATTTAGCTTCATTTATTCAACATATTAGATAACGAGCCCATTTAATAAGTTTACTAACTTTCTTTATTTCTTATTCATTCGTTTAACTAAGAGACAGCAGATAAAAATAGAGCATTAATTCGTATAAATAGAAGTCGAACAAAGTTCTATTTTATGAAAAAAATTCTATTTTACCAACAAAGTTCTATTTTATGAAAAATAATCTTTACAAAAGTAAAAAAGTAAAATATTATTTTTATTGAAATTATTTAATTCTTAATAATAGCGAAAGAAAAGGAATTGAGATTCGTCACTTTGACCTGTCAAAAGACAGAAAGGTTTTAAACTATACCTTGTTTACGACGTTGTTCCATCTTCTTTGGACTGCCATCAAAAAAATATGTAATTTCGATAGGATTAAACGTACATCTACTTCGCTCATACTGCAGATCCTTATTTACAGTCATATTTTGTTGCTGCATATTATACAGGTTATTTTACACTGTCTATAGAAACTTTTACCTAAATCAATCAATGTACTATTCTATCTCAATCTGCTATCTGCTACTCAAATGCACGGCTTAATGTATAAATATGATTCACACCAGTTTATTACGTCGTTCCATCAAAGTTTCTGATATAAATACGTGTAACTTCAAACTTTATAACCATTCTCCCCTACTGTAGCACGAGCCACGACAGGACAGGATCGTAAATCGAACGTCCAATTAGCATTACCAACTGATATTTTAAAACGCCTTGCCACAGGCGAGATATATATATATATACACTTTGTCTATGGTCTTGCCTATTTCACTACATTCTATGTCCTATCAGATGTCTTTGGAAGTAACAAAAATTTCAAGAAATTATACACAAATAAAGCATTGTGCATAAAGTGTATTGACTCTGTACTAAAAATTTTTTTGTACAATCCTTTGTCGAAAATATCAAATCCTGCTTATGCGTACACATTTCTTCTCTTTCTTGAAATTACTACATACTTGCAATGTGGCAGCATTATGACAGCAATAAATTAACATAATATTACAAATGTAGTATAATTCATTCTATATCACGTTTTGTTTTTGTTGCATTCGGCTTTTTAAAGCGGGAAATTACAAATTCAACTACGTCTCGAAGGCCTTCGTATAATTATTACTAATTTGACTATTAATATACTGTTAATGAAATCTTCGAATTGCAAGTCACAAATTAAGAACGATGGAATAAATGAAATTTTCAGCTGATTATCCTAGTTGGCATAAAGTTATAACATTATAAAAAAGAAATTTCTTCTAATACATCAAGACATCAATATTATTAGTTGATAAATTATCATGCAAGAGAGATTATTTGTGCAATTTTATATTTTATATTTTCTAATTACTATTTATATTTTCGAATTACTAAATTATAAAATTATTTAAGCGAAAGATTGCTAAATTATAAAATTATTCTTTTGTACTACTTCCGCTTGGTTTTGATATACAGGAAATATAGATTCCGCCATCTTGAAGTTCTTTACTAAAGAAAACTGGTGGGCTCTGTCATGAGGTATGGGCTGTTCGGAAATTTTTAATTACATTTTTAGCAATATCAACTCAAATGTAATTTGTGTTATTTCTCACATTAATAGGAAAATTTGTATGAACCTGTAATTAACTTAAATTATTATATTTTGCATATTTTATGTTTGGTAATTTGTTGACGACTAACCACATGGTTTCACAATTGAGATTTATGTTTTCTAAATATACAATTTCGTACTTAGTAAATTATAAGTTTGGATTCTAATAACAGTTTTCTATGAATCAAATTAAAGCAAGGAGTCGATGCTCTATTTGATGTCAGCACAATTCGTTAGCACAACATAACCTCTCTTTGTATGTTTCAGTTCGTTGAAATTACAGAAGAGGCTTGCAGCCTCTGTTATGCGATGTGGTAAAAAGAAAGTCTGGTTGGACCCCAATGAAATCAATGAAATTGCAAATACAAATTCTCGTATGTTTCTTAAAAATTAAATTCTACTTTGTTTACACATAATATATAAACTTTTGTTTATTTATTCTACTGTTTAAGGACAAAGCATCCGGAAGCTGATTAAAGATGGTCTTATTATTAAAAAACCCGTTGCCGTTCATTCTAGAGCTAGAGTTCGTAAGAATACTGAAGCTAGACGCAAAGGACGTCATTGTGGTTTTGGTAAAAGAAAAGGTACAGCAAATGCTCGTACACCTCAAAAAGTAAGTATACATTTTTATAATCACTCCTTAAATGATATAAAGCATTTACATTATTTTTTTGCAGGATCTATGGATCCAAAGAATGAGAGTTCTTCGTAGACTTCTGAAAAAATATCGTGAAACAAAAAAAATTGACAGACACCTGTATCATTCCCTATATATGAAAGCTAAGGGTAACGTATTCAAGAATAAGAGAGTTTTGATGGAATTTATTCATAAAAAGAAAGCTGAGAAAGCAAGAGCAGAGATGCTTTCGGATCAAGCAGAAGCGCGTCGTACTAAAGTTAGAGAAGCGCGTAAACGCAGAGCAGAACGTATTGCCACAAAGAAACAAGAATTATTGCAATCTTATCAACGTGAAGATGAAGCCGCAGCAGCACAGAAAAAATAATTTTACAGATTGTTGTACAAATAAAATCTAAAATAATCTATTGTACTTCTTATTTGATTGTTATTATTTTATCCTTTATAAATAGATATAAAATTTGAGTAAAAGTACAAAGACAATTTCAATTTATGTCGAAAGATATAAATATATGAATTTATTTTCTTTGTAATTTATGAATTTTACATTTTGCATAATTCTACGAATGAAATGGCATAAACTATATAAACACTTGTTTCTAAAATTAGTATGTAAGCACACCTGCAGATGGAAGTACTGCTATTTTCTAAAGCTTTGAAATATAGTCAAAATATTGCGTACATACAACCACAATATAACTAAACGTTAACTAAAAGAGGAAGAACGTTCTCTGCACGATATACAGTGTTAAGAAATATATATTAATTGCAAGTTAAAAGGTACTTATATTATGTATGAAATATTTGAATGAAAATTTATTTTATTATCACATCCATTAAAAATAAAATATTCACAATAGGTTAGGAACATGTATCTAAGGTAAATGAAATAAAATCTTTAAATAAATAGATTGTAAAATATTATTTATCAAAGTAAACAGTTCTTTTAAAAAAATTTATACATATTTATAGTTATTATATAATTTATGTATCCTGACAAATATGCTATTGAGTATATTTTGTAAAATAACTAAATATTTCGTAATACATTGTGAATTGGGTAGCATATCGTGATGTCTATTTAAAAAGTAGCATAAGAAGATATATATATATATATTTTTTTAATATATTATTTAATATATTATATAATATATAATTTTGTATTACATGAACAGAAATGGATAAATATTTCATAAACAAAAAGTTATATTTTAATTAATAGTTTATGATTCATAAAGTTGAACTATTATTCCCAGCTGGATATTCTTCATGTCTGACTGAGAACTGATATGATGATGGTGGAGCAAGAAGACACACACCATGTCCGTAAATATTTATACATTTCAACTACAAGAATTTTTTGTTCTTTTTTTGTCACATTGTACAATTCTTAAGTAATCAAGAAAATTATTAAATTAAATTCATGATATTGATAAAATTTATTTGCAGAGGATATTGAACTTCAAAAATCAGCAGTTATACCAGTTAAAATGACCAATAAAAAGGGAAATATCTCAGAAAAATCAAGGGAAGAAATAAAAGCAGAGCGAGAAGCGAAAAAAGCAGCTAAAGCTCATGCTAAAGCAAAAGCTAAGTCCACTAAAATATCAGACAAAGATCCTTCAAACAATAATAAATCTACATCTTCCAATAGTATTAAGAATAGAACGAGCAATGATACACCAGAGACTGTGACTAACAAAAATGTTGAATCTTCTAATAAAATATCAGTAATCACTAAGACTTCAAATACATGTGAAAAAGATGGAGAGGTAGTACCAGAAATTAGTAACGAAGGGAAGAGCAAAGCAGAATTGCGAGCTGAGAGGAGAGCTAAGCAAGAAGCACAAAGAGCAGCTAAGCAACAAATTTTATCAGAAAAAAATAAGAATAAAGAAGAAGATAATAATAATAATAATAGTAATAATAATAATAAACCTGCAACACATACTATTACTGTAATAGATACAGTTAAGAAAGTATCACCAAAAAAGATTCAAAAAATTAACATTCACGAAATAAATTTGTTTAAACACTTATATCATGAAAGGGAACAGGCTATTGTTAATGTTCCGTTTGTAAATTCAAATATACATCCAGCAATAATTAGATTAGGTGCACAATATGCAAGTAAAATAATTGTAGGTAGCAATGCAAGATGTGTTGCCTTTTTAGCTGGTGTTAAACAACTTATTCAGGATTTCGAAAGACCGCCACAAGCTGACTTTATCCGAGGTTTCGAAGCAAATTTGCAAGAATCTGTAGCCTATTTGCATCATTGTAGGCCATTGGCTGTTTCAATGTACAATGCATTGAAGCATTTAAAATGGCAAATGACACAGTTTTCTTCTTCTTTGTCCGATGTGGATGTAAGTAACATTTTTATATTTTAAATATATATTCTTGTATGATGTTTATGATGATAAGATGAAATTAATTAATCTTTCAGGTAAAGAATAAATTAAGTAATGCAATAGACACTTATATCCGGGAGCAAATAGAACTTGCCGATAAGGCAATATCAATAACTATTCAAACTAAAATATCTAATGGAGATGTTATCCTAACTTATGGCTAGTGAGTGCTCACTTTAGGAAATCTTTCAATATTTTCTACAATCACAATGAAACTTATACTTTTTAGTTCATCTTTGATACATAAAATACTATTAGATGCGCACACTGCAGCTAAAGAATTTCGTGTTATTGTTGTCGATGGAAGACCATGGCTGGAAGGGAAAGAACAACTTAAGCGTTTAGCAAAGCACGGAATTGAATGCTCTTACATTTTAATTAATGCTTTAAGTTATATAATGCCTGAAGTAAGTAGAAGGAATAGTTTCGTTTTTGTATTACTTAAATTATTGTTTAAGATTATCAAAGTAATAAGATTAATGAATAGGTAAACAAAGTGTTTCTTGGTGCCCATGCAATATTAGCGAATGGTTCGGTAATGTCAAGAGTTGGTACTGCTCAAGTTGCCTTAATGGCCAGAGCCTTTAATATTCCAGTCTTAGTAGCTTGCGAGACCCATAAATCTTGCGAACGCGTACAAACAGATTCTATTGTTTATAATGAATTAGGTAAGTGGAAAATTTATGTTTATTTCTATATTATCAATTTATTTATTTATAATCATTCTATTATATATATTATAATATATCTATGTATTTTTAATTCTTTTTTCTCTTATAAAAAATTTATTTACAGGAAATGCAGATGAGCTTGCACAAGATTATCGTAACGGTGCGCAAAAATCGTTATTAATGAAATGGAGAACAAAAAGATTGTTGAGTCTTTTAAATATCGTATATGACTTTACACCAGCCAATTTAGTGACAGCTGTTGTTACAGAATTAGCCATTTTACCGTGCACTAGCGTTCCTGTTATTTTACGTATCAAACCATCAGAGATATAAATTTCATTGTGCCGAAATATATGTTTCGATTATTTCACATAACATTTAAGCATCAATATGATAACGTGTGTTTATCATGTTCTGCACCTGTATATATAAATTAGATTTTAGCTAAAATTACAAATTATAACGCTCCAACAACGGGGAAATATATGGCAACCTCCTTTTTTACTTATGTCTACGAAATAATATTTTACGTATTACTATTGTATATTATGTTGTGTACTTTAGAATAAATTTCTGCAACATTAATTAGATAATTATATTTTAATAATATCAATATTATATTACATCAGTGGTAGGATTTTTTTTTTGTTATTTCAAAATTTATTATTTCAAAATTAAAATAAGAAATAAAAATTATTTCACTTAATAATTTGGCAATGGAAGGAAGTCTTCCGGAACGGTAGAAAAATGAAGAAACTAGTTTTCTCTCTCATTGTGCTATTTTGTTTGTTATTATGCATTTTTATATTTATTTGTTTTATTTAAGATTATATTAAGTATATTCAAAACAATTTATCAGATTCACATTCTTTTCACAGCATTTTTAGTATTTGCTTATGTAACCAAGTTTCGTAAGTTTGCCGGCAATTATTCACAGTATTTTTCTAGAACGAAGGTAGACAATGATAGATTGTTTCGTATATAATTAAAAAGTGTAACAAAAAGCAATATCTTGCTATAAATTGTAATTATTATGTTTTGTAATTATGAAAATCAGTGGCATCCAGGATACAGCCTTTATGTTTTAAATGAATAAAAATTATATTAATTATATTGTTGAATGGGATAACCTTACTTCAAAAATCTCAATTGTTTTCTTTCTTTTTCATTGTAAATAAACGTAAATTGAAATGTTTAGACAAACAAATTTTATGATAAAACAATTCGGAAAATTAATTTCACCTATTACAACTGAATCAAAAATTCATAACGTATTGGTTACAAATTTAAAACTTGATGGGAATGCTATCAAAATACTTCACAAAAATAAGATGGATAGCAAACTTAGGAAAATACCAGAAGAACAAATTATTCGGAATTGTATAATATTACAGGTAAATATTATTTGTGTATACTATAACTATACATTATATAATAATAATATATGATATTATACAACTTGTTTCTCAATAATAATTTATTCATTTCTTTTTATTTAGAATATGAATATAAAATTAGATAAAGTGGAGTTGTTGACACGCTGTCTAAAGCTTCAGCCTAAAATCTTAAGAAATAGAATTCTTATACTCAAAGAAATGGGTGTGAAATCAATAAATTTACATAATATTGACAAGTATGTCAATAGTCAATGTTATGTTAAGTCAATTAAAATTTGATCGTTATTTATTACAGCTATTTTTCTTATTGTAGATTTTTATTGTTGATGACAAAATCTACGACATACTTTAAGAAATTATTTGATATTCCACGTAGTAAAAATATGACTAAGGTCATACTTTCCAATATAGATGTAACATATAAGACTGATAGATTTGTAAATAAAACGGAAGGTCGTACTACAGTTGGCTATTATTATCAATTATGCATTGTATATCATCAAATACATCATATGAAACTACCTAAAAAATTGTTTTATAAAAGAAAAAAATTAAAATATGTAAGTGTTACTGAAATGACCAGATTGCTAGATGTACTGAAAAATAAATGTCAGCTTGATGAAAAATTTGTAAGTACAATTATCTAAGCAAATATTGTATATTTGGAAATGGTCTAATTTGATGCAATATTTTTTATAGCTAGAAAAACATTTTTATCTTTTAAATGTAGATATTGACAGTATTGAAGAAATTTTGAATGAACTTAATACCAAATTAGGTGACAAAAATGTAATTGATTTCATAAAAACATTTCCTCGAATTTTGTTATATGATATAAACAAAATAAAAAATACATTACAACTTTATCAAAACTTTGATATACAAAATCAGTCGTTTAGTTCTGTCTCACAAGGTTTTAAAATTAACAAAGATACCTTTGTAGAAAGATATACGAATATTGCAAATAGCTTGGAATTAAGTATGTGGTTGAAACATCCACGATTGGTGTATATGATTTATTATTACAAATCAGTCATGGATCGTTTAACTTATATGAAACATTTAAATTGTTTAAATAATGCAAATATTCATACATACTTGTCAACTAAAGATTTTTTTTCAAGGTAATTATTTTTATGGAATAGAAAATGAAGTATTGAAGTATATATTTAAAATTTTTAATAATAATTCATAATTTTAGGTATATAGAAGGTAATATACCTTATACAGTTGTAAGAAGACATATGTCATATATTTTGGAAAAAGAATTTGGCGATAATAAAATTCATTTACTATCTTCTATTAAAAAACATCCTTTTTGGAAATCCGTTTCACTCCTACGCATAAATAGAACTATAAAATATTTAAAGAAATATTTTTCAATAGAGGATATATGTAAAAATATTCAAATTGTACTTTATCCAAGGTGAGAAAATGTTTACATTTTAAAATGTACTTAAGCTTAAAAATGTTGAAATACATCTAAAGATTAATATCTATTAATATAGGTTGCTGATTGATAATACATTAAACTTATTGTATAAAGAATATTCTCTACAAAATGGATATAATTTTACTTCTACTCAATATTTAGCATTATGCCTATACAAATTAGAACAAAAATATCATTTTAGTGGCGATGGAGTTTGGCAAGTCGAAATGTCAGTTTTCAAATCAAATCTTTTTGAGGATGTACATGAATTTGATAACCTTATTGAACGTATGAATGACGATGAAAATGAAGTAATGAATTTAAGTGGAAAAGCGTGGTTTGAACATTTATTACAATAACATTAAGTACATGTATAGAACAACATGTAAAAAGTAGGATTTATAAAGTGTAGGAGTCAAAATTAAATATTTTTAGAAATATATATGATATTTCGCATGTTTTCGGAATGACACATATTAATAGACAAAATTTAAAAATTTATTTTTATCAGTTAGCAATTTTATACACAACAGTAGTATGAACATTTTACAAGATCACCGACATTTTCTTAAACAGCATTATATTTTTGAATCTAAAATACATTTAAATTAAATTATAATTTATTTTCTAAAATCTAAAGATTTTGTGCTTTCTCAAAATATTTTAATTTTGTTGATTAATCTTTAAAGTTTAATTACATTTCGATTGTTATACTTTACATGACTTATATAATATGAATTATAGACTACGTGATATATAATATGAATTATAGACTACGTAATATTATATAATATAAAAAATGTAATATTTACAAAAATATAATATTTATATTGATATTATATTGTACAATATAAATAATATGAATTGAATCAAAATATTGATATATTGAAACAAAATCCTTTTCAATATATTTTGAATATTTATTAAAAATCATTGTATACAAATTTAATATTAATATACAAGATTATAACAATTTTCATTCAAGGCACATTATCATCAAATAATTGATTGACATGTTTTCATTTTCAAGTGTATTTAGTTGCGAATAATTACAAACATCATGAAAAAGTAAGCAGAGTACAACATACACAAAATACTTTTGTAAAAAAATTTACAAGTTCAGATAATGTTTTATACTTTCGATATGCATGTACATGATTTAATATACACTACGAAATACTTGAATAAAATATAACATAGCAACGCTTATTTTCACTCGGTTCAATATTGATGAACAAAGGATAAACAATACAAAAGTACTTATATCTTGTTCATATTTTTAAGGCACTTGAATGCTCTCATCCAATTAATTGCTTTTTTTAAAATATTTTATTTCTTACATATAAGTTTATTATAAAAAAAATCTCGAGGCTACTTTCGTACTAAGAAAAATCAATGGTTATATTCTTAGTATTAAATGTTCTTTTAAAACTGTAATTCCAATCTTATTAATTTTTTTAAACTATATAATACAAAAATGGAACTGCATTAAGAATAGGACTTCACTTTCAACATTTCTTAAAATATTCTATTAAAGATTCTATTAAAAACCTCCAGTCTCAAACTTCTTTCTATTTTTAAAATAACAAATTATGATAACTCTAATTAACTCAAAGCCTTCTATCATCATCTTCAGCATAAACAAAATATTAATAAATCTTCCAAACATCATTTATATGTTTAGTCCTGAAATTCCTTTGCCAAGAAAGATCTATTCCAAACCGGGATCGCCAGTTGTTCTACAGTGAATCTAAATCGGAGATTTCGAGTCAGTTCAAAAAAGGAGGCAACTGCACGTAGTTCTGCTGGCTGGTTGGCTCGCTTTTCACCATCACTTGCTCCTTCATCCCTTGACGTCCTTGTGGTGAGTGCATCCCGTATTCCTGTTTCTGATCTTGCTGCTGCTGCTGTTGTTGTTGTTGTTGTTGTTGTTGTGTGTAATCAGATTGTTCGTGCTGATATTTATCCGCTGGACTAAGACCACTGACATAATCCAGTTTATTTTGCTGATGATCCTCTTCGGACATAGAGTTAGCTAGATGAGTGGGTGGTGAGTGCGTAGTCACCATAGTCTGATAATCGTTGCGGGTTAAAGGAGGTGGTGGACTATTGCTGGCGTTCATGTAATCCTGATGCACACGCATTGTATTCCCAGATGGTGTAGAGAATAATGAAACATCGTGTTGCGGAAGCATCGTTGCGTATGAATATGCTGATCCGTTGTTGCTTGGCCCACCGAAAGAAGTGGAGTATGGAGAATTAGACGGGCTAAGCAAGTTCAAATGTGGCGCCAGATCATATGCTGGAGAATATGCCCAGGCATCTGGCGGTGCTGTCGCTGTGGTTGGCGAGGCGAAAGGGTTGAGAGTATTGTTCAACGAAGTAAATGACCCTGCTGGAAAGAGAATTTTTAAAAGTTAACGGTGTGTTATTTATTATTAAAAGATTTGATATCTATTACAATTTTTACTAGTTTATATCAGTTATATCGAATATTCTTTTAAATTCTTGCAATACTTTCAATGCAACTGATTTTGTAAAAAATCGATGAATTAAATGTGTTTTTGAAAATGAAAGATTAATAATGAACAACAATTACAAATTTTTCTTACTTCATTCACAACTTCAATAAATTAACTAACTATATTAAATCGGTGAATAAAGTATTCGAAAAAATATTTTTTTCCTTTAAATAATTTCTATTTAGATTTTGAGAAATATTGTTTGTCGTATCTGTTTTTAGAAAAATGAGTTGAACTGGTACAAGTACCATATTTTTAGTATAATAATTTCGGAATAAAATAAGAATGAAACTGAAAGATGACAAAAATCAGCATAGATAGATATCAGTTATCATTTTTGTTATGATTACCTGATAAACCGGGACTTGCTGAACCAGCAGCCATATAACCGGCGGTTTTGCGTGGCGGCTCTCTCTTCCGCCATTTTGCACGTCGATTCTGAAACCAAACTTGAACTCTTGATTCTGATAAAGCAAGTTTTAAAGCCAGTTCCTCCCGTGCAAAGACATCAGGATAGGGTGCACGTTCAAACGCTCGTTCCAACTCTTCCAATTGATAGGCGGTAAATGTTGTTCTGAAATAATTAATTTGTACAATGAAACTGAAATATTCCATTGCGGATTTTTTTATAAGAAAAAATGAAAATGGAAAGAATGTACATAATATGCAAAAACGTATGCAAAATATCTAAAATACAGTACTTGTTCTAATATTTAATAATAAATATTTAATGTTTGTTTCTTTAATTATTCATAAAAATTCATAAAAATTTGAAATTGCATAAAGATCTGCAATCTACTCATAGTCAAAGTTTTAGATTATATAATTGTGTTTTTCAGTGAAACATGAATAATATTGAGGAATTTAAGACATGTAGCGCGATGATGATATTACGATATTTTAATTTTAAATTAGGTCTTTATAGATTTTTTTTTTTTTCAATAGTGGAGAAAAAAGGGAAGGGAAATATAATAAACAACGAATTTAATTTTAAATAATTTAAAAAATATATATACCTAGTCTTCTTCTTTTTAATTCCATTATTGTCCGTTTTCTTCTTGGAATCTTTTTTAGCTGGTTGAGCTTCACTACTGACTATAAATAGAAATTAACAGAATGTAAAATCGTTAACAATTATTCCTTGTATTATTTCACTCAGATTACATACATAATGATTTGAGTATAATAATTTAGTATAATAATTCTACTCAATTCAGTTTCTTCTTTCAAATCAGTGTATAATTTACTAATTTAAATTTCCTTTTAAAATCCAAATTTCCATCAATCCAAAATTCGCTATACTTTTTCAATCAATTTTCAATAATTTAATATTTAATAATATTTAATGCTAATATTTTTAAATGCAATTCATTACTTTCTTCAACAATTTTATTGCTTTATATATCAATATAAATTTCAGAAGTGTCTCTCTCCAAATTAGTAGGAATCTTATAAAATACAATATTAACCTGGAGCAAGAGTGTTCATCGGATCTTCCGGTTTCCTTTTCAAAGGATTTCCAAGCTGCAGACCCTGCTGTAATGTCGTCGAGGTCGGTGTCGCAGCAGTGGACGTTGACGTGGTTACATCTTGCGTCTGAGGAAGAGGTGCGTACATTCCAGCTAATTCTAATTCCTTCAGCTCCTTTTGTTGTTGCTGTTGTTGTTGTAGATGATGATGAGCCGTTTGATGATGCGGCGGACTATTGGAAGAATCCAACTTGTGAAGATGGCCTCCAGTGGGCATTAAATCACCACCATGATGTCCACCATGAAGGCCAAGCATCACTTGAATACTATGAACCCCTGAACCTCCTCGACCACCGAAATCAGAGAAGATTGGGTCATCGAAAGGACCTCCGTCCATTTTTTTCGAATTGAAAATTCTTCTGGTATTGGAAAATATCAATTATTTTCCCTTTTCGATTCTTCGAGCAACAAATAACAGTACTAGATTATTCCTCTAGCGTTAAATAATGATCGGGAGATAATTATCGATTCTTAAAAATTTTTGACATTTTAAGAAACACACGATTTCATTATCAGAATTAAATAAGAAGTTCTCTTCTTCTTAATAAATGAAAATAAATATATACAGAATTCTTTCTTTCAATCTCTAATATAAATTCGTATTTGTTCTTTTTTAACAGTTTCACGAACTTAAATTTTACTTTTATTTTTCTCCTTTAGATACTTTCCAGTACTGAGAAAGATTTCTCT